GCGTAGTCACTTGAATAGCAAGAGTCAACAAGAGTATCCCTGCGTAGTCTTTTCCGCAGGGAAAACAACCATTCCGCGTCGTTCGCGTAGGCTCTCTATGTCAGTATAAGAAATTTTATAAGGAAAAAAACAATGCTCATTTGAGCCAGTAGTATGTGAGAGTCACTCTGTGCTATTCTGGCCAGGATGGGCACAAGGATCTACATGGTAGTTTCCATAAATAGGGGGACCCCTAAAAAGGTTCCCCTAATTCTGGAAATCCCCAACATCTTCGTGAGCTATCTCCGAGTTGATGCGCACTTGTTCGAGTATGTTTGGCATGGTACCGCATGCCATATCCTGTGGTCCACTAGTGACCTTCATGTAGGGAAGTTGCAGTCACTTCAGTTGACACCGTATATAGGTGGGCACTTTCCATGGTATTCTGATAAGGGCCGCTCGCACAATTGACAGAAGTAGTATAGAATGCCTGTGTGTGGGAGACTAACCATGTGTGAACTAGCCACGTGTACCGGGTTTTTATTCTTGTGGCCGCGCCTTGGATTGTCCTTCTCAGGCGAAGGCTGGCGAGCAACGTGCATTAGAAGAGGCCCATCCGTTTTGGGTTAGCCTTCCAAAGTTGGGGTACGCGGGTGCAATAGGGATAGGTATGGAAATACAGCGCTTAAGCTTAAGTTCTCCAAAAACAATCCGACGCCTGCGAAACTGTAGGTAAAAATCGCTTGTCATGAGTGGTTCGCAACAGCGAAGCCCACACTACATTTTGCGAGCTTGCGAATGGTGCCATGTCGCCCAGTTCGGGACCTGATTTCACGATGTTCACCGAAATTTTGCTTCGTTTGTTAGCACATGAACGTCACTCTGGTTTGGGCATGGATGCTCTCGTCAGCGTGCGCTCTCGAACATCAACGTGACTATGATTGGGGCATGGGGGCTCTAGTAATCCGACGCACACCAACACAAAATTGTGCCAGGAAAGAAGCGAAGTAGCCGCCTGTACGGTGTTGCATTCATTGGCAAAAACAAGGGGTCTCTTGCAAGCACCAAGAACGGAGAATCAAATGGAAGAGAAAATGGAGACCGAAATGGAAAACTGTGATTTTACAGCGGTCCGAACGGATTAGGGGTTACAAAACGTCTGGGTGACTACAGGAGTACGAATAATTAGCAAGGATTTCAGCATTTGGCATCTACAAGAGCTTGCCCCATTTGCCCCATTTTGGAAGCCGCATGTGACCAATACTGTCGTACTCGTCTCATGTGGTGAGATTTTTACGTTGTCATGGTGTTGTGACGTTTGTCATTGTTGTCCTGCATCTTGTTACGACTAAGTTTACGTACCATCAGCAAACGTGCTGCTGAGATTAAAAGTTGCTATGGTGCTAGCCGAATGTTCTTCGCTGACAGATCCGGAAGCGTGAAGCTGTGATCGAGCAGTTACGAGATGATCTTGCTTAGCCCTGAGCAGCTCCAAACGCTGCCTCTCTAGCGTGTCTCACCAATATAATCCCAATATATACCCTATAATCCCTACATAACCCATTATAGTAGTTTCCATTTTATTTTCCATTATCTCAATATCATCATAATTCGCAGCATGCAGTAGCGAGCCTTGCAAAACCGCAAGCAGCTCCGCTCTCCCAGCAGATTGCCTCCAGCGGCCACGGAATAAAGCCTACAAAGTGCTCCTGCAATTATCACCTGCTCCGCCTTCCACTATGCTCCTAAGTGCCGAGTGTTTGAGAGGGCGCCATGGATTCAAACAGTTGTACGTCAAAGGCTCGTCGTTTGCGCTTCACTGCGTACCTTGTATTGAGATCTCGCCTGCTCGTCTTTTTCCCAACTCCGCCTTGAAGATTCACCTGCTGGCTGCTGATCAGCTTTTGTGCAACATGCTCTCCCCTTGTCTGCCGTGGCTGGCAAACTTCGCTTGGCTGACATCGTGCAGCGTGCAGTGACACTGCAATCATCCTTGATCTATTGCAACAGCTCAGCCGGGCAGAGCCGGCGTTGCTCCAGTAATTTGGTTGATGCAACAGATTTGCTGCAAGTCATCCCTGGCATGCTGTGATGTGCTTTGATCCTTGCGAGGGGTTGGCCGTAACTTGCTCCAAGCTCGCAAAATACGCATGGTGATGAGCAGAAGATTGTGATGAATAGTATTAGCAACATGCAGCTAATCGCGAGAGCCTGTCCAAGCTAAAGAGATTCTTGAAAATGAGCTGTTAGGGTCTGCCTTAGTCGCGGCTTCATGGCGATGGCGTCCGAGACCATCGCAAAGGTGAAGGACCGGTTTTGCCAACCTTTCCATCAATGCGGGGTAGGTGCCTTTTTGGCTTGCCAACACAACATCTGTCCTCATGCGTGTTGCTGTAGCTGAGTCATCCAGATGCCCTGCAGTTCAGAGACAAGCCTATAGCCAACTAAAAGGATCAGGCAGCCCTTCACGCATCAGACCCTTAATCTAAAGTCCGAAGGAAATGCCAAGATCTCCACTCCTGCCAGAACGCCTGTCCAGGAGATCCAAAAAGGTAGCTTGGAAGGTCGGAAGCAGTGGGGCAGGCAACTCAGAGTCTGCAGGCCAGGAAGACAGGAAAGTAATTTATTTGTAAGAATGTGTGTGGGATAACCTGGAACACAGAGGATTCCATAAAAGACGTCAGATTCCACCAAGAATAAGGAAAACGTGCCACGGATATCAGTTGAGCATCCATGATACGGCGTCAATGGTCCCATCTAAAGAGGCTTCAGCCCCGAGTCAATTTGAGGAAAGGTTATGATATGGGAGTGTCACTGAAAGGGGGCCTGCAGGGACCAGAGGGACAGATATGGAGTGTGACTACAAGTAGATTCTGGGGGGTTCTTCGGGATTATGTAGGAATTGTTTTGAGAAAGTCCCGTAAAAAAATGAAATGAAAGACAACATTTGAGATGCGAGCAGCCTATCCCGATACCAGATAGTATTCAGACCCTTAAATTCATGCTCCATCTTGAACTCCCAAAGCCTTTAGCAAGGAGTGGATCAAAAATGCTTCCTTTATACGCCTCTGGGGTGCTGCAAGCTTGTCATGTTCCCTATATCACTCCCAAAATGAGCTGTAGTCTAAACTCGTTGAAGAGGTTATATAGGGAATTAGATAGGGTATTATAGGGGTATCTAAGGGGGATACTAGGAGGTTAGTTATAGCTCATATCACTAAAGTCCCTACAGCGCCCTGACCCCTAAACTGAAGCGCATGTTTCATCTCGTGCATGTTTACGAGGCTGGCTTGACCTCTGAGGCCTGTGGTGCGACACCCGTGGAAACGGAGCCTTCCACTCAGTCTTGACCCATTCGAGTTTGAGGGGTTCATAGGGCAGTTAGAGGTGGACTTCTAAGTAGGGTAACAGTTGTCGTAGCTTAATTTCGGTGACCTATCCCCGTTTCGAACTGCTGATGGACCTTCATGGGAAGCACTTCAGTTCGCAGGCATACCCTGAAAGGTGGGCTTCCCGAAGGGCCCAAACCTTTGAAAAGGATTGGATGTTTGAAAACATCTCCAAGGAAAAGGCTCTTGTTCTTTAATCAGGAGATTTTCTATCTCAAAAAATTTGGACCATATAATAGTCCCATTCCTGCATCGCGACTCTCCGCTGCCACTGCAGCCTAGCAAATCAAACCCCACCTCTCACACATGTTGCTGATGTCTGGTGGGTGCATGTAAAATTGTCTTAGCAGAAGGAGGGATGATCAGGAGATATGGTAGTTTCCCAAGTGGGGAACTCCTGCCTATATAGACCCCAAAGAAAAAATTTAGCCTTATCATAAGGACCCCCAACAATCTATCTCTAACTTTGGCAAGCCCCCATACTTCTCTTTGGGGGATCGGTGGTGTTGATGGGTTGCAGTGAGAGGATTGATGCTGACCCCCCTGCAAGGCTGGTCTAGTAGGTGATTCTTTAGGGCGGTTTGCAGTGCATTAAAGACTTTCTTTGGTCAGGGTTTAGGGGTTTAGGGGTTTAGGGGTTTGGTATGTGTGCAAATTACCCTCTGACCCTCATCGCTAGAGCATGGTCCTTATAGGTTGCCTTTAGAGACTTTGTTGCCAAAGGTGCGCGATCCCAGCAAGCATACGGCCGAGTCCTGCGCCTGATTGAGCCGGGCAGTTGCAAAACTGTTGTTGCTCATGAATTTGCGAAATCAATCACCAAATGAGCTATAGTCTGGACTCTTTTAAGGGGGTTTTATAGGGGAGTATTTTCGGGGCTATTAAGGTGATACTGGGAGTTTTAGACTCTACCTATACCTCATATGATCTGTTAAGCAATTACGAAACGATTGGCCTGGCTATAGTCGTCGGAATATGGCACCAATGCATTGCCGAAGTACAAGGATACCAATATCCATGGCCTTCGAGGAAGATAATGACTGTTTTCTTGTTATTGCTATTTCGATTTTCTTATAAATGTTATTACTACTACTACTACTACTACTAGTAGCCGCCCCCCCCCTACCAACTATGTTTGCTTAAATTGCCAATATACATATGGGGGAGGCGGCATTAGAAAACAGTAAGCAACATGACAACGAAGTGCTTTCCACGCAGGGTGCTGGTTAGTTCTCGAAGGCCTGCTTTGCGAGCCTTACCTGGGCCATGG